AAAGATCTGGGTGTACTTGCTGACCTCAGGATATCTCTGAGCTGCCAGACTGATGCAATGGCAGAAATAGCAGATATAGTCCTGGGTCCTATCAAAAGAGACATTTCCAGCACAAGGAAGCTTTATGCAGGACTTTGGTGAGACCTCAGTTAGAAGAATATGTACTGCTTGGTCATCCCTGATGAAAGATTAATTGAAAGCAGAAAAGGCATTAAAAAAGTCTACAAGGGTGATGGAGAGCAGGGTCTCTCCATCTCCTTAGCAGCTAAGCTCTGGTACTCAACCATCAAACACCTCTGTAGAACACAGCACCTCATTCCCCTACGCTTGCAGCCCATGCTTTGCAGTAGAGATGCACAACAGAGCCATCGAGTTCAGGAAATAACTGCTGCACCTTCTGTTGACCGTAACATTTCCTTCCTGGGGACGTGCCCCCTGCAACATTGCCCTTTCTCCCACACTTCAGTCGACAAAGAGCTGAGCTAGGCAGAATCGGTGAGCAAAAGCGATCATTTGCATTGAAATGAGCACATAAAAAAAATAATCAGCAAAACCTAAAGCTATTTTTGGTGCGCAAACTTCATTTACATTTTCCTTTTTGGTAAAAATCCCAGCATACAACATTCCAAAATACACTTTCCCCCTCCCCTCGCTTTTTCCTTTTATCCTCAATCATAATAACAACTAGTGCTTGACAAAGACTGCCTATTTTTAATTTCCTTTGCGAACTGACTCCAGGCTGCCTATGATTTTCTCCTGCCTGGTCATTATTCAAAGTGAAATGAGCAGCTAACCAATTTCTGCAAGGAATTCTTTGTCTGCAGATTCTTCAGGAGCGGTTTGTTTTGCATGTACGAGGCTGGAAATCCTAGTTGTTTTGATTGGACGCGTGAGTCACACAGGGCTTTTCTGGATCTGCGTTACTCTAGAATTGCGGTTCTGGTTAAGGAAATATTCAGGCTTGGAGTCAGTATGGGCTTTTTGGGGATACCCCTTGCCAGTGAAATCCTTTTGCTAGAACATTCTTCCTGGGCTGGCCAAGAAGCAGCAGGCAAGGAAGGAAATGTGTTATTCTGCAGCTCTCATTCCCCAGCATCGCCCTGGCCATGGGGGACCATACCCAAGGATGCTTGCTCTGGGTCTCTCTGCTCAGCCAGCAAGCCCTGACCCAGCTGGGATCAAACATGAAGTCAGAGCCATCCGGCTTTGTCCTGGAGCAAGTTTTCATTGCCAGGAGCTCTCCTGCGAGGAGCAGGCAGCTCGTGCTGGGCGTGGGGGGGGGCCTTACCTCGCACGACTGGATGCAGTGAATGACGGAAGGGTCTGGATACCACCGCAGCCTGCCCGTGCACACAATATGCTGAGGAGGGAAGGAGAAAAGAGCTGTCAGGAAAGGTGGCAGAGGGAGGGCAACAGCCACCCACATGCTCTCTGGAGGTGCAGGGTGTCTCACAACACTATGTTGCTCATGGCAGTGCAGAACAGCAGCGGCACCCCCGGGACCCTCCTGCACCTCTCCCCGGCAGGAAAGCCTTTGAAGCCCATCAAACCCAAGGCAGCAGCACCTGGTTCACCCGCAAACCAGGGTACATTGCTCAAAGCAGAGACTAGGCAGATTGTGTGTGTATGTATGCGTACATAGATACACAACTAGGAGAGGACAGAGGGAGATGACGGAGACCACCAAAGTGGGTTTGTGGTGGCTGACTTGGCCATGAGCAGCTGCTGGGAGGAAGCCACTCGGGCCACGACAGGCTGGAGTCTGCCATCACCTCTCTGCACGATGCTGGATTCACCAGCTTCTCGTTTGTATGGGATGGGGGGCTCAGCCAGTTGTCACTCGGTGCCTGCATCATCAAGTTCATCAACCCCTTCTTAGACTCCAAGAACAATGTCCCAGGAGGACTCACCTCCCTGGACCTGGCCTGAAGCAGATACACCAGACTCACGTTCATGCACGGGGTTGAGGTTATCGCTGGTATTTACGAGGCACGAACTCAGCTCTTGCAGCCAACTGGACACAAGAGCAAGATACGAAGGGCTCGGTGGTTTCACCGCGCTGGAACGCACATTCAGCGGGGGTTTGTGGGGAGCACGCATGATTATACGGGGGGAAGAAAAGCCCCACCGCACATGCAATTTCCTCCTTGTAAAGCTCAGGCAGGCTTTGAAATCTGAGGCCCCATAAAACGATAGCTGGCCTGTGAAAGTGTCCTAGGATGCCCTTCACAGCACAGGAGTCGCACAGAGGAGCACGTATATTTTCTCCTAGCCTCTCATGTGAAACGCGCAGCAGCAGGCAGCCCGGCTCCAGCATCCCCGGGTGGCACAGCAGCTGGGGATGGGGTAGCTCTGCCCATGCAGACCATCTGCAGGTCCTTCTGCTGCATTTTCGGTTGAGGACATGATGGGGCAGGGTGAGGACCTGGTCATCCTCAGCCAGTGCAGGGAAGGCAGACCTGGAGGGAGCTGCTGTCAGATGGGGCAGACTCCTAGGATGCTGGCTGAGCTATATGATTCCTGCTCAGCCCAGGGGACGTTTGCATCCTAACCCCAGTGGGGTGGTTCATATGTGGTTGTTGTGCAACTTGAACAGCATTTTAGTATACTCATATTAGTATCCCGTATTCCAGGCTGGGAAGTAAAGGCAGAGGGACAAACCTGCTCGGCTACGGGACGCGATGAATCAGAGCTGAAAGCAAAACAGGATTGTGACCTCCCTGAGCAGCCTCTGCGTCTCCCTGTGTGGCTTGCCTCCTCTCCACCACCTTGGGAGCACAGGGAACCACAAGCTGTTGGAGGCTTGGAGGGGCAAAGCAGGGATCAGTGGCAGGAGCCGGGGCAGAGGGGAAAACAAGATGGTCCAGGGAGAGAGGTCCTGGCAAGGGGGAGCGCCGCTTCTTAAAATAACGTCTAACCTCCCTCCTCCTCCCCTCTGCAAAATGCCTCCCTCGCACGAGAGCCCACAGCAGCGGGGAAAGGGAAGCCGAACGCCACCGCCTCGACGGGCCAAGCCATCCGATCCCTCAAAGGCAAGGACTCCTTCCAAGGCTCGTGCTTAACCATCCCACATGCCCCGGGCGTCCTCACCCCCCGGCAGCGATCTGTCACGGGTCTGATTCAAGGCGACGTACAGTAGTATCCACAGGCACGATGCTGGGCCTCCTGCGGGTTCCCAGGAGGAGGGGAAAGCGTTTGGATGGGAGCGCTGGCTCCTGGGAAGATTGTTTGCTTTTCTTTGTTCCACCTCCTTCCTTATGCATCTCATTTTTATTTTAAGAAATATTAGCCCGGCAGAGCTGCTTTTTGGGAAAGTTGTGCCGTTAGGATCCAAACTATTTGAGCTATTCGAGCTGTTTTGCCTACAAAATGAGTAAGAGATGGGGAGGGAAAGGCTCCTCTGTTCCAGAAGCAGAGGCAACTGGCCGGCCGGCGGGTCCTGGCAGCCAGAGACACCTTTCAGCTGACAGTGCCCTGCGTCCTCCCTGGCAGGGAGATGCCTGCCTGGGGTTGCACCTCTGCTGCCAGGAAATCTGGGACCCAGGCTCAGCTTTTGCTCTCCCAGCGCCCTGGCTGACAATAAGAGCAGCTTAGCAGGTTTAGGCATGCGGCACGTCCTGAAAAGTCAGTGGGATTCCTGCGTTTAACTTCATTCACTGCGGTATCCTGCAAGTCCTTGAAAGCTGGCTTGGGAGCTGATAACTTGTGCTGAACTTTGGTACAGGAGGGCAGGAGGCTCTGCAGTAGCATGCGCGGGGAGGGAAGAGAAGGATGAAGCGGTGGGAGGGAGGAGGACCTCGGCACTGGAACCTGGTTGTGGGGAACAGCAGGTACCCCCAGAGCATGCAGCCGGGGCAGCTCCTTGGAGCTCCAGCCAACCCCGAGCTCACTTATACTGCTTGCCTTTCCAGGTCTTACCCTTCTTCACTCAAGGCAAATAGAATTTGGTTAAAAAACACCAGATAGAAAGGAGGAGGGCTCCCCTCTATGCTGCCAGCAAACCCCCTGCTAGAGGAATCCACCTCCCCATTTACCTGGACTCTGGTGGGCTGCAGACGGTGATCCATCGTCTCAGCAGTTATGTTTTCGGGCAGTATGACAGGGTCACTGGGAGGTATGATACAGGAAGGTACGCACACAGCACCTGCGGGAGGAGAGAGCACCTTGAGGACTTCATCTAGAACCAGGCAATGATGTTTACAGGAAGGCACCAGACCCAAACATGTAGGTTCCTCATCGAGGGTGAGGCTGACATAGAGGAGACCCTTTCCCTCCCAACCAGGGGTGACCGTTCTTTCCCCAAATGCTAAATTATGCAAGACCCTACAGTAATTGTGGCCAATTCCCTTCTCCCAGATGAAAGGAAAATTGAACATGCCCCAGGAGATGGATTCAAGCCCCAATGGCAGGACGGAGAATCCAATATGAAAATAAATCTGGCCTGGATGGTGTGGGATGTTTGTTGACAAGTTAGAAAGCATCGTTCATAGTTTTTCTACCACATTGAATTTCCACTGCCTTCCTATGACTGAGGAAGAAAAAAAAAAAAAGGTGCAAAAATCACCTTGGAAAACCAGGTGGACCCCAGGTTCACCTCAGGTCTGCCCAAAGATTAACCTTAGGAGGCCCTGCCCTTAGACTCGCCTCAGCCTGTTTGGATCAGACCCAGACAACTGGTGTGTTTTCTTCAGAGTGATGCAGGCTTTGCTCAAGCGTCCTGTCCAGCGGGATGCCAGACGAGATGCAATGACTGTGACTGAACATCGCAGCTTTTCTTGAAAGAACAAAGCGACCAAGTTCTGAAGAAAGAAATGGATGATTTGGTCCCTCATCCGGTGAAAGTGCCCTGTGACACACGACTGTCGCTGTGGCTTTTACCTAGGACCTGCCACATTAACCCTGCAAACATCAGCAGTAGTAACAAGCCGAGAGACCTCGGGGGGGATGAATGGCTAGAGAACAGGAAAATTACTGCCAAGGGCTGGATTTGCCCTGGAGATGAGTCTCTGCTCCTTCTGAAAAGAGAGATGCTTACAGCGGAGCCAGCTTTAGCTTTGAGTCTTGCTCGTGAGTACAAGCAGGGCATGCACAAGGCTAAAGCCACCCCTGGCTCTATGTTTAGAAAACAAATGGAAGAGAAAATAGGATATTTTTTTTTCATAGATTTAGTGGAGATTGGTACAAGAAGAAGAGTCATCGTGACCTTTAGCTCTCTGGGAGGGCTGAGTCAACATAAGGTTCAGTTTTCCGTTTAGCTTTCATCTGCCCTCACCTATGCCGTGCCCCTGTTCGCACTTGTACTCCACAAAATTCAGCTCCGGGGGTGGTGGGCACGTGCCCCGTAAACTCTCGCACAGTTTGAACTCCTCTGTCCATAAGCCCTCCTTGGTGCAGACGATGGGAACCTGCAAAGCAGAGGGAGAGCAGCCAGTGTTACTACCAGCAGCAGCAGGGCTCACCCTGCCTGGCCACTGCCCAGCTCTGGGGGCAGCAAAATACAAGGACCCCCCCTGGAAGCTCTCCAGGTTGCAGTCATCTGGTCCAGCCTACGGGTGTTTTGCACTACTGACCTTAAAGCAAATTGTTTTCCAGCTGCTGCTAGACCATGCTTCTTTGGACAAAACCCTTCCTGCAAGTTGGATGTGAAATCTGGGTGGAAGAGCCGGGCAAGCAGCAGCCTCCATCCCCAGAGAAGCCCCTTGGTTAGCAGCCCTGCTGCAGCAAGGTTGTCCATCATCCCAGGTCAATGCGTTCACAGTGGCTCCCAAAACCCACTGGAAACCCTCATACTTTTGCTTTCCAACCATTTTCACTCAAGATAAGCAGGCTTGCTTGAGATCACTGCTCTTTGGAGGAGTCACCAGGGTGCAGGGGAGCACCCTAAGGCAGTGGTGCACCCCATCCACGGCTGGTATCCAGCAAGAAGAGCTTTGGGTTTGCAGAGCAACTGCTGTTTGGTGGTAGCAGGGCATTTGGCACTGGCTAAGCTGCTACAGGGTCCTTCTGCACAGTGGGGCACAGGGATCCCTGCTGCTTTCAGGTGCTCTGAAGCACAGTGCTTGGCCCATCTCCGCCTTCCCCCCAATCACTCACCTGTTGTCCCTGCGGCTCGCAGTTGAGGACGCACTGGCTGTCCAGCTCGAAGCCCTGGGTGCAGTTGTACATGCCCTCGAAGACAGGAGGGGGAGGCTCGCACACCACAGGGATGCAGTGCCCCTCTTCCCACTGCCCGCTCTCCAGGCACTGCACCTTCAGGAACTTCCTGGGGAAACACAGAGCCAGGCTGGGCTGCAGCCCCCCGAACACACCCCACCTTGGCTGTACCAAGCATCCCCACAGAGGCAGGGGCAGCCTAGAGACATCTCTCCCCGAGCACACACAAACCCCCAGCGTGTGAGGCTCTCCCATGCCATCCCACCCCTCACCACGGGTAGGTCCTCTTGGAAGGACAACCTATGCTCAATCAGGACCTTTCCTTCTCCTTGCCGGGACGATCATACTGATTTAGGAACACTGACCACTTTTTCCTTGCACTCACCACCCCATTGCTCCCCGCCTTTCGTGGTGCCCCTAAAACCATTCCTCTCTGTCCTGCAGCCCCTGCGGGTCCTGGGCTGCTTTGTCCCACCGCCAGTAGCTACATATTTTGCTGGATAGAGTGAGCCTCCACCAGTAAATCCTGCTGGCCTGCACCCAGCTACTCCTGAGGCTCCTCTTTGTACTCCAGCCAGATCTGTCAATCCTGCTCTTGCCGAGGGGCTGTCGTACCGCAGCAGACCAATACCATCCTGTACTGCTAAAACAGCCCAGGCGCAAACTACTTGCCAAAAAGACGATGAAAAAGAAAGGAAGAAAAAGTCCAGAAGCAGAGCCCACCCGCTTTTCTGTCTCCTGTCCTTGGCAGCGATAGAGACACCGCATCTGTTACAGAGAGGCATCAAAACCCCACAAGGCACTGGGCTAGCTGGGGGCTGCTCTCTCGGGAAAGGATGTCACCACGACCCCAGACTTTGACAGGTTTTTGACAGCACTGATGGGCTTTATCTAGGCCAGTGCAGATTTCTCCATCCTTAATGAGACTTTTTCCCCCTCCCTCCAATCCTCCCTTACTAGACAGCCTGCTCCAGCTGCTTGCCCCTGCCTTCTCCCACCACTGGTGCCAGCAGGCAGGGCTCCAGGTGCCGTGCTACGGAGGTTATAGCATGCCACAGGTACATAGAGCAGGGTTTAACTGGGTTAGAGAAACCCCTGGGGGGGGAGGCACTAAATTGCTCCTTGTTCTGACCTGCAGCAGGTATTGTGTGGGGCCACCCGACTGCACCCCCCAAAACAGTGCAGGGTCACGCAGTCTGGAGTGGCAAGGGGACCCCATCTGCATCCCACCACCAGACTTGGGCCACGAGCTGGTGGCCACCCCTGTTACATTTCTGCTGGGAACTCCTGGGCAGGAAATTTGGGAGCCTTTTGAAACATTCTCTTCTTTCTTTTTTTTTTTTTTTTTTTTTAAATTTCCAGCTCTTAAAGATTCCCCTCCTCCCTTCAGAAATCAGGGATCGGTTTTCCCTAGAGACTGCATAAGGGGGACAGAGGGTTCCTGCTATGATGAATACACGCTCTGGCAGGTAACGTGGAGGCGGGCAGGGGAGGGGATGGAGTGTGGCAGGTCCCCCGGCACAGAGCTCTGCACAGTATCTTCCCCCTGGGAGCACGGGCTGTTGCAGTGTGAGCGCCTGAGCAGCAAGGGGTGCTGCGAAGTCACCCCGAGAGCAGTAGCCTTGAATTGACTGAAGGGAACTGCAACTACGTATGATTTTGGAAGGGTGGCGAGGAGGAGCAACTCTGGACCCTATTGTGGGCATCGGTGGTTTCAGCCCACTGCTAATTTCACTTTCTTGGTAGCTCGCCCTTTTCACTGGGGTGATGGTCACTGCCTTTCAAAGATGTTCTCATCAGACCTTGCCTCTTCCTGTGCGTTTTTTGAACGCTTTGCTTTGCCCACCTTTAAAGGCACATGCTGAGGCACCGATCAGTGTGGGACGTCCAGGTCCTCAAGCAGCATTTTCCCCTTCTTGAATTGCCTGGCACGCAGGGTGTGATCCAGCTGAATGACTTGCTTTGGGTTAAGCCGATGGCATCACAGCGAGAGGAGCAAACCAGGGGCGCAAAGCTTCACTGCAACAGCGATGCCTCAGGTACGGAGCAAACTCCTTTACAATCCAGAAGCATCCCAGCCACCACACCTCACTCACCCACCAGCCACCGGGCTATAACCGATGCAGCCCCTTCAACGCCCAAATCATGGTGGAACCCTTTGCCCAGGAGCAGTGGGAAGACCTGGGGAGAGGAGCCGAGCAGGGGGATCACACGCTGTGGGAGCTGCAGTTTGCACAGGTGCACGCTGTGGTTTGCAGCCCCGTCGTCTTCACGGGGGCTTCTTGTCTTGATGTGGTGCTGGAGTGGCCCCAGAGTGGGGCCAGCATCATGCGCGGCCTCTACCACCTCTCCCCAGACCTGCTTACCCCCCCCTAGACCCGGGGCAAAAAGCCACCTTGGTCTGGAGGCTCACCCCACCACCAGCATCCGTGCTGGGGAACTTCAAACAGGGCTGGCCTGGCTTGACCCTGGGGTAGAAGGTGGCCTGTAGACCACTGCCGCACGTATGAAGTGAGCAGTTTATATTAAGGCACAGAGAAGGGAAGGGAGAGGCTTTAAAAAAAAAAATCAAAAAAAATATATAAAAATCCCCACAACCTCATAGCAGCAGCTTGAAATTTCCAGACCCCCCGACTTCTTCTGATCTGGGTTAGCAGCATTTCTCAAGGATTAACGAGGAAGCCAGGAAAATTGGAGTCAAAGCTTCCCCCTCCAACCGGGCGAACGGATGCCTAATGGGTAGAGGAGGCAGGGGAGACGTCTGAGGCCAGCGAGGGCTGCGTCTGACGTGAAGGCATGAGTGCTCGCCTGGCTCCAACAGCCGAGAACGCAGGAGCCTGGCCAGGATCCAGTCGTGTACTGGGTCCGCTGTACGTGAACAGCGATAAATGAGTGTAAAGCCTCATCCTCCCATGGCAGGAGACTGACGGCTTCAAGAAGAATAGTGGGGAAGCACGGAGATTCGCCGGTAAATTGAAAGAAAGCAACACCAGCTTGCAGGACCTCCGCTGCTTTGCTCCAAACAACCTGGGCTGTAAATCTTCATCACAGACCTTAGAGGTGGAAGCGACACAGGAGTCCAGCCGACAGCCTGTGTTTTCTTTACCTGGCTGCTCGGCTCCCTCAGCTGCGTGGGTGTTTGCCTTTTATCTGAAGGGGCCAGATGTGGGCAGAGGCAGCCAGCGCCCCACGCCTTTGCACCCACCGCAGATGTACAGTGGCCCGGTGCCCTGCGAACTCCGATGCTCCCGGGTTAGGCTGTCCTGCTTTGCCCACCGCAATCTTTCCGATGCGTTTCCAGCCTCTGGTCTGCTAACTCTTTCCAGTCCATTTTCTCCTCCATGTTTTCCAGCTTTCTCTCCCTCTTTTATGGTCTCCATATCTTCTAGCAGGGAGAGAAGACATCTCCATGGAAGCTCGTCAGGGGTCTGGGCTGTTCTCCCTTGATCTCTGGTCAAAATTCAGGCTGAGACTTTCAAAGCTCCCTGAAAAGACCTGGGTGTCCAGTTCTTTGCTTCATTCCCTCAAGCTAGCAGAAGGGGCTTGACCCCTCACAAAAGTAGCTTTGGGATCCCAAAAAACTCTTATTTCAAAGGAATCATCCTGCACTGGGCAAGGGAAACAAGCCCTCTGCAGGGTCTGACCTTTTTGGTCCCCAAACTGAGCGCATCCTCTCAGCATTAGAGTGCTCTTTTAAACATGTCCTAGATATTCCTGTTGGAGAGCTGCTTCAGATGGTGCTGCATGGTGGAAGCAACAGCAAGGACCGCTGTGGGGGTGATGCCCATTTTCCCCCGAAGTATCTGACCTCTGACTTTCAGGCCAGCTCTTTTCAAGGCTGCAGCCGTGGACAATGCCAAACCTTGCTCCTTGGCAGTTCGTTGCTCTGTGTGATCCAGGTGGGTGTGTGCCACTAGACAGATGCTGCCCAAAACCAGAGACCTCCCATCACAAAACACAGATGAACGTGTGAAGTTTCCCTCGTTACCATTATTTTGGGGTTAGATGTGAAACACCATAGACTGTGGAAATCAGGCTGTTATGTGGGCTCTCCAGGCTGAAAATGGATTTCCTTTAGGAAGAGTCAAAGAAGATTTAGCCTTTGTGTCAGCGTCATCAGTCAGATGATCCTGCCAGCAGAAAGGCAGCAAATCTCTGGCAGGATCTCGATTACACAATCAACGTTTCCTCGAGGATCTCTTGTTGACAAGCAATGATTTCTGAAGGGCCTTTCCTCACCCAGGTTAATAGATAAAAACATCTTTTCCGAGACAACAGATTTCTTCATCCCTTTTCTCTTCCACTTATGCTATGGTAAATTCATTTCAGCCAAGATTGCAGGAACCTTCTAGGCATCCTTACTGCTCCTGCAGTAAAATTCAACGGAAGTGAGGGAATCATACAAGTATCTGTGTCCAAGAGCATCTTGTCTTGGACAGAAAGTGCCAGATCCCAGCCACGGCTCAGGCACCATAGGCCTGCCATGTGAGGAGCAAAGCCCCAGGGCTTGGGTCCCCAGTCCAGCTGTAGCAGCCAGGGTGTTTTACGAGGTGTGTGAGAGAGATCAGAAGGCTGCTCAAAAAAGCAGCTACTCAGGAGGTGATGAGCCTTGGCTGGGTTGAGTTCCTGCTTGCTCATATTACAGCTTAACTGTCCCTGTCCACAGGGGATCCAGAGCCATCCCTGAAGGAAGCCCTTGAAGGAGATGACCAAGCTTCTTGTAACAGTGCTGTGAGAAGCTGACCGTGTCTTTCACATAGTAGCAGGTTGGGCTGATGCCTTGGGAACACACAGACACCAAAAGATGCCTCTACTCCTTCCTTGGAGAACAGTCTGAGCCCCGTAGCTGGGGGTTACACTCCCTCCATCATTCCCCTCTAAAAAGGCATGGTTTCTAGAGCTAGAAGAATAATTTGAAGAATATTTCCAAGGTTGGCCTAAGTAAGCTGGCATGGAGAGTCTTCAGTGTCAGCCGTGAATCATGCCTGACTTCCATCCAATATATAGCACACAGAGAGTCTTGCTTTCTTATGTCCATCAACACGGACACTGAATCCTTTAGCAAGGTTGGTGCTTGCCGAGTTGACGGACAACAGGGAGACAATAGGTCAAGAACTCAGCCTGCTGAGCCCAGAAAGGCTTCAGAAGACCCCAAAACCTGATGTCCAAATCATCAGCTGACACCCTGCACATCAGGAACCTGCACCTCACCAATGCCGGCCTCTTCCAGAGCTCTCCACCACCTTCAACAACGTGCTTTCTCCAAGGTTGGCCTGAACAAAGAAAGCAACCTCTCACTCTGGCAGCTCCCATCCTCTGCCTGCCAGGGCTGAAACACCAGAAGGATTTCCAGCGATCCAGTAATTGACTGGCCCGCTTACTGGCTAGTAGCTGCTACTCGCTACACATGCCAAGGGGTTTGTACTCACGCTGTGTGTATACACAGAGCTCCAGATGAGATGGTGCACCGGCATTTACACTTCCAAGGAAAGGCTTTTGCTTTCAACCATGCCACTCACATAGCAGTTAATCTGCATTTTCTGTTATTATTTTTTTTTTTTTTGCTTACTGTAAAAAGATCGTACTCTGCCATCAAAGACGTTGGATGAATTAGTGGTAATGACAATAGCAAATGTGAAAATGCTACCTCAATGTGCATCACTATGGAAATGTAAACCACTTCCCATAATTTTCCTTGACTTGTGTTACGGGCTGTTCAGACCCACAGGGAAGGTACACACACATCAGAGAAGCATCGGGAGCTCCCAGAGGGCATCCTTTTTACCAGCAGTTGCTGCAGCATGACTGAGATGGCCTAAATTTGCAAGCTGGGTTAATCTGATTGCACGTCCAGTGCCTGAAATGCCACAGGCACGCAAGCTGCTCCGCAGTTTGCAAAGCGGTCCACGTGATCGTAGCCATAATCGTAATTTGCTCAGCTCCCCTTGGCCCAAGAAATGCTCCTAACACTGTGAAAAGCTGTTTACAGAAACCACTTCCTTCATTACAAGGCAAGAAATTTGGCAACTGCTTCCCAGTGCACAACAACCCTACCCCAGAGCAAAGTAGAGATGAAGTCTGCATCCAATTAAAACTGGAAGGGGGCATTAAACAATTAGCACATAATTACCTGATTTGGGCTAGCATCAAGACTCTGGGGAGGACCAAGCCAGTGCCAGGGAATCTTTAGTGACCGAACCCAACGGGGACTTCAGCTGGAGGCATCGCAGACAAAATGCTGCTTTACCCCCCAGTGTCACGATACTGGCTGAGCGCAGGGCTAGTGAATCACCAGGAATTTTTCCCCGAAGCATCGGGCAACATCTCCAATTTGCCAATGCTTCAGATTAAATTTAGCCAAGACGTGCAGGGGGTAAAGTGTTAACCCTGACAACAGGCAGTCATTCGTTCTTACAACCCCCAGTGCCACGATCTATGTTTTATCACTTTTAGGAAAGACAGCAGCTCCAGGAATCTTCCAGCATCTTATTACATCTAATTACCTGAGAGTCTGCAAACATTTCTGCACATGCTTAATTTTCAGCAAGCGACAAGTGTGTTGAGATGCATGGGAAAACTCACATGCTTTAGGTTAAGGCACTTAACGTACGCGTGCATGCAACAGCAACTTGCGTCTTGTTTCCACCTGCTTTTACCTAAACCAGGGGAATGCCTCCCATATTTCATGCGTGACCAGAGCAAGCTGCTCTGCCTTGCACCTATTAAATCAGCTCTTCAAGACTGCCAGTGGACCATCACCTCTTCTCCCGATGTCAGCAAGGAGAGGAGGAAGAAGACGGTGGTACCAGACCCACCACAGACTTACTTCTTAGCCTTGCCCGCTGCGTTCTCAGCCACGTGGTATCCAGGCTTGCACTTGTAGCGGCAGACCGAGCCCACGTCGTGGTTCCCCTGCAGGCACCGTGGGACCAGGAGCTTGGCGTTGGCCACTGCAGGAGGTGCATCGCACTCCAGCTTGCAGTAGGCTTCGGGGAGCGACCAGAGACCGTCCTCCAGGCAGGTCAGCCACTGGTTTGTTCCTGACCCCAAAACAGAAGCAGTACATGGTGGTTACAGCTGATCCGAGGATGGAGTTCTGCTGAGGGAAGCTCTGAACAACCAGCTAAAGTCCTTCTGTTAGAGTGGATACTTGATGCCAAGGGAGGCAACAAATATGAAGACCATGGACTCCATTGTACGCTTGGTCAGGCTGGAGCAGAAATTCCTTGAATGCAGACAGAAGCAGGGAAGGGACAACTTCTAGGGGACAGAGAAAGGATCTTGATTCTGCAAATCTCCCCAAAACTTTCCCTTAAACTCCCCCTCTCTGGTAATGCCTCGGGATAGCCTTCAGCGGGCTGAGGACTTTTGTGTATGACACCTATCTGTCATATTTAGCTTAGCCCATCTTCATTATCCCCAGGTGCATCTCCTTCTTTTCATGGGATCACTGCTCTGCCTACATCTGCTCTTGGACCAGGGACAAGACCATGCCTCCGCTCAGCGCCTGTGTTCCTGGCGGGCTGGCACTACCAAGGGTCACCCCCCCCGCCTCCGAGCGCCACGCAGCCGTGTCATGCTTTCCTTGCCTATTCTTAGCATTTATTAGCCTTGAGAGCCTGCCCGTAAGGATGCGAGCCTTCGGGTAGAACAAGCATCAGGCACGTCCCTGCATTGACAGCTCAGCTGAGTCGGCTGGACCTCTGCGAGTTTACCCACGTGGCTCAAGCGCCTTGGCTGAGCACCACCAGCCGTCGTGTCAGTCGCTGGAAGTCACCCAGGGCGCTGGAAGTCACCAAGGGGATGCCTTCCCACCAAGAGAACCCATGGCAAACCTCATTGCAGCAGGAACAAGAGGTGGCTGTGAGTGAAAACCCCGCCCTCGGCTGACCCACACAAGGCAATGGGCATCGGCTTGTGCAAAATTTGGGCTGTCGAGTCGTTCACACACTACCCTTTGATCAGCTCGTGCTGAGGATCTGCCGGCATCCCCCCTGCCGTGAAATGAGACCTTAATTCCCTGCAGTTTTTGCTCCTTAGATTTAACTTTTTTTTTTTAAAAGTAAATGATTTTCATACGTTTCAGCTATAAACGTCTCCATAAAATAGGGCACCCATTAAAATGATTTGTTGTATGTGATTGTTCAGAGCAAAGGCGCTGGTGGAAACTCACATAAAGTCCCAATGCTTGAAGCTGTCAAGGCAATTACCCCTGAAATCCCATCCAGCTCAGCCTTGTATAGACAGGAACAGTAGCTCTCTTTCTCCGACTTGGCTTAAAAACATTCCTGCGGCTATTGATGGAGTCGGCAGAATGAAAGCCAGGCCATGGCATGTCTGGGGGACTGCTGCGTGTCTGGGTGGTGGACATCTCCCAGACTGCTCCACAGCTGTAGGCATCAGTCTCTACGGCTTTATACAGCCCCGGGACTCCTGAATCACACACTTTCCCACAGCCACCAGGCAACCGAGCCACTTTTGGCTCTCTGAAGTCCTCTCTCTCTGTCCACACCGGCTGCCTGCACACTTCTTGCCTCCCTGGTCCCCATAATGCTGGAGGCTGCCAGACCTCACCAGCTATCAGGAGAAGACATCGCTACACCCTGAAGTGGATGGATAAGGGCTGTCAGCTAGAGGATGGGAGTCAGAGAGAATTATTCCCACACTATGGTGTCCCACTCAAGGGGGATGGACGCCCACTCTTTCAGGAAGTCTCTCAAGAGCCCACCTGGCTAGGAGAAGGCAGGACAACTGGGAAGTTCGAAGCTGCAATGCTCTGTTCAAATAGCTTGGGACAGGCACGAAAAGGTGGCACCAAACAGGGAGAGTTCAATCCCTCAGCACTCCAGACCTTACCTTGAAGCTTGGCTGGGTGGATGCAGGAGAAGGAACATCTCTGCAGGTAGCTAGTCCCCTTGGGGCAGGAGAACTCAGCGTAGTACACATGGGACTGGTCAGGGACACCGCAGTCAACAGGGTCACAAGTCACAGATCTGTCCCACCGCCCTGAGCTGCATGTCAGCACCACCTCCTGCTGCAGAGAAAGCAAATCTCCATCAGACCCCTGCAAGTGAGCTTTAACCTACTGGTTTGCCATCACAGCAGAAAGGGCTGACCCAGGTTCCAGGACAAGGAGAGCTTTGCCCCATTTTTGTTCCCCCAATCTGCCCTTTCTCCCCACTCTGGACGCTGAGTCACGAAGCCCCTATCCACTCACAGGGTGATGTTTGAGGTGTGTAAGCAGTGAATGGCCCTCGGGGTAACACACAAACCAGCTGCACAAGAGACCTTCTAATGCTTGGTCTGTAACTGTGTGCCTCCAGAAAAGGCTAGCTACATGCACGCTGCCCGAGCGGTGCCAGAGCACATTAAGGGGAAAAGGAAAATCCCTTCAAGATATGCTACAATTTCCTGAGCTACAAGTTATTCCCAGCTCTGTACACTGCAATTTTCTCTTCTGCAAGACCAAGTCTTACTTCAGCCGTTGACGAGTGGCTCTCCTGTTGATTGTTTTTCCCCTAAATGCACTGATTCTCTCATGCCTCAGCCCTCAGACCCCACTGAAATCAGAGGTTCATACAACCTCATTTACAAAGCGTTATTACACAGCCCCTCTTACACAGCTAGGGGAACGCATGAGAACCTAACCACCAGTGATCCCACCACCGAACATGATCAACATGTGCCAAGGGCTTCATCAAAACAGAGTGGTAGATGACAGCGTGCCATGAGCAACTTGGTCTAGTGGGAAGTGTCCCTACCCATGGCAGGGGGGTCAGACTAGATGATCTTTTAAAGGTCCCTTCCAACCCAAACTGTTCTAGGATTTCCGCTCCCAGACTGCTAACCCCAGCCCAGCAGTCCTGCAGACCAAAGTAGCGTCCTTCAACTGTTCATATGTCCCTTTACTTGCTGAGTACAACCACTGTGCTCCTTCAGTCAAATGTGTGACCTGTCCTCCCAGCCAACACGTTTTGATTGATCCTGGACATGGTAGCTCTGAAGGACATCACTAAATTTGAGTGTGGTACTCTTAGGTGCACAGCAAGATCATGGTGTAGCTGAACCAGGTGGAGAGAATGCTCAGGGGAGAGCTGTATGCATTTTTCCAAAATGCCTCAAGAAGTGTAGGGTCACACAGCCAAACCAGGACAGGGTGCTTGCAAGCTGCCATCTGCTGTGACAGCCACATGGCGAAGCTCTGTCCAGAAGTTTCCCATCTTGCCGCCAAACGCAGGAAAACTGTCACCCAAGGCAGATTTATTTTTTGCGGCTTCATTTCAGAGGATAATGGGAACATTTTGTTTTCCCTGGGCATGCCTTGGCCCACAGAGCCATGCAGCCATGTAATTAATAACCTCCCCAGTGATGAAGGGCCAAGCAGTGCATCCCCAGCTGTCCCACTGCACTTTCCAGCACCCACCTCTCATTCAGCAAACACTGATGGCTGCAGCACAGGAAACCTGCCTGTGAGGCATCACGAGCACTTGCAACTCTCCAACAGCACAAGAGGTCCACCCCGCTGACACAGCCTGACTCACCTCCATCTGTCTCCACCTTGTGCGAATTCACGCTCTTGCTCGGACTACTAGGGAACCAGCTCAGCCCTGGAGACTCCTGTTCCCCCTCCAGGAACAGCCAAAGGATGGGACACGCTGTGTCAACGACCCTGCCAAGGCGACTGCCCAGATCAAGGCAGCTCAGCTCCCAAGGACACATCAGTCCCAGGTCTCCTTGGTCAACAGCTAAGAGCCATGCTGGCTCGTGGCTTTTACAAGGCATCCCCCAGCCCTTTGGAAAGCAGGACAAGCTCTTTCATGGTGACCTCTGTGCTGCCCTGCTGGCGTGGGTAGTGTTATTGCAACGCAACACAAAGGAAGAAAAGCTCTTGTCGCTGTTGGCTGCCTCTAAATATAGATGCTCCGCAATGACTTCATTTTTTCCTGAGCCACTAACTTCAGCTTAAGAGAGAAAACGTCCCAGAGATGTGTAACCCTCCCAGAAACGCCCATCCAGAGAACAGAAATGTCTACCTCTCCCTGTGCAAGAGCACATCACCCTGGCTTAGGACATCCCCTGCAGCAGCCTTTCGCCCCGCAGAGCCATGGTCTGTGGGCAGCACCAGGCTGGGGCAGCTAGGAGGGCGGCAGTGAGGGAAAAAGAGGGGTCCCCAAAGCAGGACCACCAGCATGGAGGTCCAGCACCAGAGCCTCCATTGGGCTGAGGTTTGTTGCAAGAGCAGTGAGGAGGTCAGGGCCGGAAGAGCAAAATGTCCTGGGGTCACTGCAACCACTTAGGGTTGGTTAAACCTTTCTTCAATAGCACTAAGTCCAACAGGTCGAGGTCACCCCCATTCTGAGGTCCACTCACCTGCACGGAGCCCAGGCTCTTCCCATTGCTGGAGCGGAGGACGAAGCCCTTCTCACAGGCAACAGTGCACGCCATGTGCCTCAGGCCATCGGAGGTGCAGTTGAGAGCAGCAGCATGAGCAAGCAGTGGCCGCGTGCAGCTTCCTGATCCCACACAGGCACCATGGATGCAACTATGGAGAAGAGGGAAAGGATCAGCAAGCAGGTCCTTCTGCAGCAAGAAGGGACTCTCTCTGGGTGGGACCTGTGCGGGATGCTCAGTGGGTCACATATGCCTACAGAGATGAACACCTATCCCTCAGCCTCATCTTCTTCCAGGCTCGAAGTCTCCTGACGAAGGTGCCAGGAGGTTACTTCTTCCCAGCTCTGCCTTGGCTGGACCTCAGCGCAAACCTAGCACACATCTTCTCACAGACCCTTGTGTCCTTCCAAGCCGACGAAGGGAAGCGCAGCCCAACAACGCTCCTTCCAAAATCTGTGCTGTCTGGTGGGCTACTCCAGCTCCTCTGGCGCTGCCTGGCACCAAGGGAGGTGGTGGTGCTGGGTGCAGGCAGACCAAGAGAGCAAGAGGAGGGAGGTGATGGGGAGAGGGCAGGCAGACAGCATACCCAGCAAGGCCACAACTCTCCCATGGCCACAGTGGGAAAGTTGATATCAGATGGTCCTATCAAGGCAGCACTCCTGAATGCACAAGGAGTAAAGCTATAAACAGCAGTCAGTGTAGCACCTTCCAGAGAGCACTGCAGCTTCTCCAGTAGCAAGGTGGTCTCTACTACATGACAATTTCTTGTCTCCAACATGACCAAATCACACTGGACACCAGAGAACTTGTGGCAAGAGACCTCCTGAAACTGTCATCTGCAGTGCCACAGGGAGTCCGCCACTGTTGGACTCGGGCATGATTGCAGCCACCCACATGTTCTCCCATACATGCTGTGCTCATGCGTGTCTCAGACAAGTGTGCGGGGACAGACAGTGGACAGCAAAAGATCTGCACTTTCCAAAGGCAATAAAGCCCAGGCAGTAACATTAGGTGTTTCTTCTTCCCTGTAACGTTTGAATCCACACCTCAGTTTCAGTCAGCCTTAGCACAGAACAAGACAAGATTTGCAGCAACAGACAGTCAGGAAGAAGAGATAGAGAGGCCTTTTTAAAGCCTGTGCTGATAGAAGGGTGACAGGTATGCCAAACCCTGTATTAGGCATTAGAATCCACAGAGGGTTCTCCAACTGCAAGGAACGGTTTAGCTGGAGAAGGAACCTCTGCAGATACTAGGGAACCATCCATGAGATGTTCTTCAAACTACACACAGGCCACCAAGGTGAGATGAGCTAAAAGAAGGAATTATCTTCCCCCATGCACCACCTAGTTACAAGAGGTCCCAGGAAAGCTTGCAATGTGTCATCCATCCCTTTGAAATAAACAGCCCCACCACCACCACAGCAGCTTCCCACCAAGGACCAGCCTGATTAATCAAGCATCACAAATAATCCCATAGTGAAGAGGAGTGCCGGCCAGGGAGCTACGGTCTCCATCAGCAAAACACAGCCAGCAGATTAATTACCAGCGATGGAATGGGGCCAAGACACAGGGTTGACACAACAGCTCCCACAAGAAAATGCCCCGGTTATCTGGTGGCCAGACTTGATCTTTCACCACGATAAAGCAGGGGAAGAGGTGCTGCAGCTTCAGGTGATAATTGGGGAGGGAAGGAGGTGTACCCAAATGTCCCCCCTTCTGCTCCTTGCTTTGCACGGGGCTGCGACAGCTCTTGTGCGCTGCGTTTCACCCAGGGGAGTCAGAGGCAGCCTTCGCCTCTTGCGTTCGCTCCAGCCAAGGATGCACAGCTAGAAATCCCACAAATGACACACACACACACAAAAAAATAATATCAGTGCTGACACAGACGTTAAGGGAACGCAATGTGCTGTTGACTCTGGACAAGTCCACCGAGCCAGAGACACGGTGGAAACCTGCAGGCCACAGCCCTGAAAGAGCCGGTGGGCACGGGAGGGGACCACAAAGGAGAACAAGAAGAAAGGGGCTGTTTTTTCAATGCAGACCTGTTTATGAAGTGAGAAATGGTTTCAGGGCAGCTGCTGCAAATTCTTTCACTAGCTTATATTTCCATTTGCTTCCTTTTTAAAGAATTTGTTTTATGAGCACAGCGTTTGTCAGGTCATTAGCTTCTGAGGGCATCTGGTACCAATTGTAGCCCTCTCCCCTCCCCTCCCGCAAGTCACCTTCTCCAGGCGGTTGCTTTGCTCCCTGCCTGTGCCCCCGTTGCACACACGCACACATGCTCCCATCCCCAACTCCACCTCCCCGTGACAGAGCCGCTGTCCTAAACCTCCTCGTGTGCGCTTCTCTGCACACGCATGCGTGAAAGGGGCTGAGCTGCTCTTTCCAGCCTTGCTCGTGCCTCCCGTCCCCTTCCTCACCAGCCACGGGCACATAAGGGAGCTGCAGCTGGTCCACAGCATCCCTCCTACCATGGTGCTCGATGCTGCATCAACACACCACAGCGAGAAAGTCCTTACCCCTGGGCACCTCCGGGCACGTGGACATTATCCAGCCAAGTCTCAGCCCACATGTTGAGAAGCAGGGCTGGAAGTTCAGTGGTGGGTTCACCCAAGCATCTGTAGGCTACAGGGCATCTGGGAGGCCACACCAGGACCCCAAGACACCTAACTTCATCTGCTCCTGAAGTTGTGTCAAGGTATGGAGTGTCTGCTCATCACCACGCTGGTGGCACCCTCCGGACACATCCAGCCAGGCCAAGTGCTGGTTGGAGCAGCTCCGCTGGCACTGCTGGACCCACAGCACATTGTCTGGGGCAGCCTTGGTAGTCGGGACAATGCTGTTATTAATTAGCAATTAACAAAGTACTGATTCTTTTCAGCACTTCTGGGTATGTTTTGGTTTTCCACCAGTTTGGAAACATAACCAGCAATGCTGGTAAAAAGTAGATCGAGAGATCAGCACATTTCTTACTGTATTATTATATACACAAAGTGTTACATAGATTAGGGATTGCTAATCATAAGTCATAATATCAAAACTTTTATTTTTATATACACCACACATATATACACTCATGCACACATTCTTTACGTGCATATAGATATATTTTAGAAATAATTAGCTTTCTCTTTGCCCCAAAAGATGACTAACTTGTCACCACTTTCTCTGTGACCAGCACCACCCCTACCCCACCGATAACCACTAGATTTTATTTTGGAAATGATCTGAGACCTATCAACTCAAGTTATGAGAAGCTGTTCTCATCCTACATGTAGCAGCTACAGTGCTGCTATTACAGACCTGAAGAGGGGCTCACATCCCTGAAAACCATCTGATTTTCTCAAATATATCATTAAGCTTAAATACATCATCTCTACCTAAAAAACTTTGCCTCGATTGCTTCCTTTATCATTATCAGCATCATCGTGACTGCCACTGCAATACTCTGGGCCAAGACACCCTTGAGCCTGATGCTATATAAGCACAGGACAAAAATAAAAAAAAGCCGTGTAGCCTGGCCCCATCGTGATCCACACGCCTTACCGGGGTTCGGGTAACGTGATGGAATAAATCATTGCTCCCAGCTGCTGGAACACCCTAACGAAGGCTGGACGAGGAAATGGTGTAGTTAGCCCAGTTCTGATCTCAGCATGAAGGAGCTCTTTCTCCTTTTGATGATAAATGAAATTCCTGTATCGCAGCTGCAAAATCCTGACATTTGGCCATTTCTGATTCAGGCTGTATAAGATGTAGGATAAGCCAATACTATTTTTTTTTTCCTGCATGCAACATCAGAAAAAATTTCCATTTTTATCCCAGCATCTTTTGAAGCTCAAACTAATGATTTGTCAACAACATTTTTACAAAATACCAAGGTTTTTCTCCTAACTTATTCCACGTCAGCACCAGCCTGCATAATTTTCTGGGCTCACCAAGTCCCATAACTTATACATCAAAGAAAGTTTCAGATCTGGAAATTTGTGAAATTCTGCCTAGCAATGACCCTAACTGCTCTGGAACGATAAGAGCTTTGTTCTGAAATGGCACCAATTCTATAAACTAGAGAAAAACTTTTCCTTTGGGATCCTTCATCTTTCAAGAATAAAAGCAGGAGGCAACTGCCAGCAATGGAGCACGTTGAGCCAGTGGTGACAATGCTGCTAGGGAGACATCCTTTTGTTGTGACAAAACCCAAATTCTAAAAAGCTGAAGTTTTGCATTTTACAGTAATTATTTCACAGAACCCAAAAATACTGCCGGATTTACTCAAGTCAAGCTAAGCCAAGCCAGATACAGTGCAGCTGCCTAAAGTATAATAAATCATCCATAAATTGGTGTAGTATCTACCCAAGCTTTCAACCCAAAGATTGCTGCTAAAACAGCCCTTATCATCAAGCTCCAACTCTAACAGGGGAAAATTATTATAAGAAGTTCATATCTCAGTGCACAGTTTTTGGGAAGAGGGGGTTATAGGAGATGTTGATGGAAAGGTAAAGGCTTCAGCCAAATCTCCTGAAGTTAAAAGCAGTCACTACATGTACTCTGGTGGAGTCTGGATTGTAGCACTGAACATCAGTGAGATAAAAGATGTTTACCCCAATGTGGTCTAGCAAAAGAGAATAGCTAGGAAATGAGAAAAGGTGTTTTGGAAATACTTGGGAATTTCTCCCTTCAGGCATGTTTCTTGTGGAGGGGAAAGGTCTCACTTTTCCAGTAAATCTGATGGCAACCACCCTTGTGGGAGCAGACTACGTGTACAGACCCAACGGTGGCGATGCTTCTTGATTACGATCTTCATTGAGTTTGCCACCTCAAGAAAAGATGTTGGCTTCTGTACGTGACTCCCAAAGAAACTTGGCAAAAAAGTAACATCCCTGTGAGTCATCCACTGTCATCTACCTCACAGACAGAGAAAAGGCACCAGTAAAGTGTCAAAGGACCTGTTGGCCCCTCTGTAGCTCTAGTGGCAAAGAAAGGAAAAGAAGCAAGAGCAGATCGACCTTAATATATTTCCAGACAGTTCATTTCCATGGGTTTTTTTGTTGTTTGCTACACCAAAATAGATTTATCAAAGCACAGAAAGTGAGGCTGAAGGAGATGTCAACTTCGGTCTAGTCCGCTTCCCAGCTTGAAGCGGGACAGATCGTACCTTCATCAGTCCTGAGATGAGTTGGCCTGACTCCTTCCTGAAGGCAGATGGGCCACCGGCCCATCATGAGAGCAGCACGTAGGTAGGATTTATCTGCCAGTATTCCTGAAGGGTGTGTATTCAGCTATCCCAAAGACGACCTTTATCCACATCCGATCCCCACTGGCAACATGCTGCACCTTATTTCTCCTCTCTTGTCCAGAGGAATTCACTTCTGATCCGCATCCACCACCACCAAGGAGGACAGAGGAATTTCAAAAGGGAGCTACAAGCAGAAGCCACAGCTAGACTGCATGTCTTATGCTGTGAGATTTAAGAATGAAAAATTATTTATCATGACAGAGAAGATCTCATCACTCCATGCAGACGCATACACACAGAAGTCTGCTGGAAGGAGACATTTAGACCTTTCTGACAAGGATGGAGCAAAAGCAACAACTTTCATCTTGAAATCAGAAGCAACTTCTCAGCAGAGAAGGTTACTGGATATAAGAATAGCTCAGCAGGGAAGATGGTGGACTCATCACCTCCCGCAGCCTGTAACATGAGGTAAGAGAGCCTTCTGAAGGACACATTTAATCCCATTTCTGTGAAAAATGCTAGTGCATTGCAATGTATGTGACATTAGAGACGGCAGCGCAGAACTGGGGCAGGCTGGCTGCAGCGGTGCACCGAGGGCTCTGCAGGCAAATCTCGGGCTCTCACAGGGCTTGTTCTCTTCTTCACGGGAAGGACAGGAGGCTTTGTGTGAGCCACATAGTATCTGTACTGATAAGAGCATAAGGAATCAAGATCAAGCTTCAGAGTTTCACCAGGAGCTGTGCTGGGGTCAGGCAGGAAACCTGCCTTGCACCCCAAGCACCTGTTTCTAAGCTGTTGAGCTGCTGTGTTTGACTCAAGGTCAAATTGGTGAAAAACCTTTGTGTTGGGAGATATTTTCTTCTACATGAGACTGGCTAATCTCAGGGAAAGGCAGAAGATGCCTTGAACATCCTAAAAAAAAAGCCCACATACAAAGCATTAAATTTGAGAAGCTGACTAGGCTGCAGAGAGCAAATGGAATGGGGCAGACCATGAAAATGGTCCCTGCACCTCCAGGGGTTTCCCTTGTCACCTTCCAGTGGGACAGCAAAGCCACTGGTTGAAGCAAATGATCAGATCCTACAGCAGAGCCTTGGCTACCACTGCCCATCAACCACAAGAGAAGTCCCAGAGGTCAACAGGCTTTGATGCTGGAGGGGAGGCACCTTGAGAGGTCTCAAGGGCAGAGCCAAAGGCTGAGATGAGCCCATGCCCTAGGAAAGGTGGTGATCAGGATCCTAGGCTTGCTTATTGAAAGCTTTTTTCCTCCAGGCCAAGGAGAGATGACATGCATGGTGCAGTAGAGACACAACCTGCTCTGATGGGCCTCACGCTGCACACCCAGGGTGCTGTGTTTGCCTGGGGTAGGCAAGGAACAGACCTCCAGGCAATATGTGCTTGTCCTCACAGCAGACAGCTCTCAACGCTGGCTGTGCTGTGCACGCAAGCAGAGCCTGAGCAGATGTTAACTGGGAGGACAGAGTGGGGATGGAGGTACATCTTGACCTTGGGATCCCAACTTAAGCGTCCATCCGCTTTGCCCATGGTCCCCAACCATGGGGCATCCTAGGCCAGTGGGAAGGATAGGAAACACCAGCATGCATCTCTACCCAGGGTCCCCACAAATTTTCACACCAACACAGATGCAGTTCATAAATTTACCCTGCATAAATTTAGCACCTGCAAGAAAGAAAAAAAAAAAACAAACCCAAATAAAGCCTGCTCGGGAAATAGCCCTCTTCTCTTTGCTGCACAAAGTTTAGCAATTGAAAATATGTGCACATCCCTCCCTCCCCCATCTGAATTTCTCTCCCTGACACCTACTTTCCATAGAAAAGGAATCTAAACCAGACTCCTCTTGATGCATTAAACCCACTTTTGGGGGAGCAGAGGAGGGCACTCACACAGGAAGTAAAAACACAAATCAGATCGCATTTTCTAGCACCTTTCCTGTTAACTCGCCAAGACATTTCCCAGCATATGCTAACAGAAAATAAAATACACTAAAAATAAAACCAAGCTAAAAATAAGCATAACAGAGGAAACAAACAACGTTCCCCTGGTTCGGTATGTAGCCTGTACCAAGGGAAACAGGAGGGACTGTGGCTCAGTTTTAAAATACAAATAAAAGGATGTAAGCTGGAGAGTTTGAGTTTCCTGGGTGGAAACTTGCTAAAAGTCTGATTTCTTCTTGACCTCGTCAGGTTGTGAGTGGGTACAGAAAGCAAAGAAGAGCCCTGAGCTGCTTGCAGAGAGGGGATCCTGGCGCTGGTAGCGAGGTGCGAGGGAGGGATAACACGCTGCTTTGGTCTGCGAGCACTCTTCCAACCTTCAGTGCCTCAAGTGGGTTGGAGAGGAGGAAGCAACTCGTTTTTTCAAACTAAAGATGTATTTTTCTAGCATCAAACGCCTGCTGCATCCTGACCTGGAGATGGCTGCGTTTCATCAGCCAAAACATGATCTCTTTGTTTTCCCCAGCCTGCAAAGCACTTTGAGATCTTTAAAGATGAAAGATGGTACAGAAATACCAAGCCATCATATATTTATTATTTTGGCAACAAGCATTTCTAGACTGAAGTCAGGAAACCTCGTTTCTTTGTTGCTTTTGTTAGTGTCCCTTTCTTGAGTTATTTTAGGAAAGCGTTCCCGTGCACGTACTGTCTATATGAGGCTGGGTGCGTGCAAATGGTCAATTCAATTCTTTACAGGAATAACACAGATGATCTGTGATCTTTTACAGTCAAACATCTTTAAACCCCTTAAGATTTTATATTCCTGGATTTTTTTTTTTTAGAGGATTTTCCCCCAGACTCTGCCTGCCTTATATGAACTGGATTATTAGCCCTTAAAAATAAAAATACTGCTGTTTTGGAGGTGAAATAGATTTTAAAAATATAAGAAGGGAGTGATGCTTGGATGTTTCCTGACTTAACAGGGGCAGATCCTTTACTACTAGTGAGACTACTGGAGGCTGTAAAGCCTAACCCCCCTCTAAATATTCAAGCCTTTTGTCCAGAAAAGCAATACTATAAATAGCACTTCCTACTCCAAAAAACTCTGGGGATCAGATTTACTCTGCGTGTTTGCTAAGGGCACGTGCGTAACCTGGAATTCACCATACTGCAGCTAAGCCAAGGCCGCGGGGAGCCCTCGGGACAGCAATGAGAGGAGGAGGAGGAGGAGCAGCAGCAAGGATCTTGCTGGGTCCTGCCGTGCCCGTGTGAAGGGGACAGCACGCAGCTCTGCATGCTTTGGCAGTGTGGGAGCTGGCTTGTGTTTCAGCTGGGACTTTTAAGAGAAAAACATCTATTTTCCTCTCTGTTTGTCTCTATATGAGTTTCTCCCCCATCCATAGGCGATGCTCAGCTGTGTCCGGTCAGTCTGTTCCTCCTTGCAGACACTTCTGAGGGGGGGAGTGGGGGGAAGCTCTCAAGCAACGAGAGCGCAAAATTGTTTTAAAGGATGGGAAAATGTAATTGAAAAACCACATCAGTTGGCTGGGGTCTTAGAAGCATGTGTGTACATAGCTGTAACGGCTACCAGGAGGAAACGGACTGCACTTCAGGTGGACACTGATCCTTTAATGTAAGGCTGAGAATAATATTTATGTGCTGACTCACTAAGATTTATGTTTCTGTATAAATCACACATGTACTTAAAAAAAAAGAGCAACTACAGGATATTCACTGCTTCCAGAACTCTACATAAATCAATTGTACCATGATCCCACAAGCTTTTAGACAAACACACGCACACTCATTCATTATTAGGGATGTTCATCCATCCAGAGCCATCAACAGAAGAAAAATGACAGTAGCAGCGATGCGATGACTGGAGCCAAAGCCCTTCACTCTTAATGTCCCCACAGCTCCAGCAAAGCTTGGACCCAAAAATCAGTATTCCCAGTGGTGTGGTTTGAGTAACTGGCTGAACCAGAGCCCTTGGATCGGCACGCTTGTAACTTCAGGGAGCCTGGGAGCCGAAAGCAAAGCCAGACTTGGCAGGTCTGGCTGTCATCAGCCCCACCACCCCTCCAGGACAGAGCTGAGCACCATCCTTTCATTCCTCCTTGGGTCTGCGCCTCCGCTCAGCGCACTCTGCCTTGTTTATTTAGTCTATCTTGGATGGCGGTCCTTCCCCGTCTCTTCGCCAGCACGACCCGCTCGGAGAGCGGCGCCCATTCTGCAAACGCCGCCTCTCGTTTGCTGTTTTATGAAGACAGGCAGATGCCTGCAAGCGCTGGGCAACAATAAGTTATAGCGCTGCTGCTACTATTATTGTTATCGCTGCATTACGACGGGACCAGTGTGAGACTTGGTGAGGAGCCTGGGATGGACGGGGAGCCAGCACAGAGAGGAGGAGGAGGAGGAGGAGAGCAGCTTCATCCCCACCTCCTGCAGAGCAGGGAAGGCTGGGATGGAGGGAGACAGAGGTTGTGAGGCACGTACTGAAGCAGCCTACGTTTCAGCTTCAGCAGCACCCCTCAGCGATAACTCCTGAGCAGAGGGAGCGAGGTTTTCTCACCAGGGAACAGTGCTTTAAGGCAATTTTTGTGCAGATGGCACAGGCCATGCACAAAATTTATTTTCCTACCTTCCCCCCCTCTGCAGCAAGATAAGCAACTCAAGTCTCATTACACCGGATTTTCCAACAGTACCTCAAAAGTCACCTGAGAATACTCATGAAACAACTCAGTGAGTAGATAAAAACCTCCAGAACTGAAGCACAAAGGCCCAGAGGAGAGAGGGGCTTTGGGTGCCCGCGGAGAAGTGCCCCAAGACCATACCTGTAGGGCTGGTGGCCACGTCCCTCCTCGTGTTGTAGAAGGCAGGTGATCGGGTCAGAGTCATGCTGAGCTGATGTCCGCAAGGCCACGGCTGAGATGCCCACGAGTGTGGAGGAGAAGTTGAACAGCACCGAAGCAGCCCAGTGGGATGGGTCCTCCTGGCTGTGGGTCACGTTGATGACAAGTGGGTTGTGCTGGCATGACAGCTCGTACATCCCTGTGAGATGAGGCAAAGAAAGAAGCCGCTGGCTCAGCTCCAGGGATATTTTCTCTGCTTTTGATTTACCTCTTCTGCTCCCCCCACACATCCCAAAAGACCAGCTTGGGAAGCTGAAGATGCTGCAAGGGGGGAGAAGGGAACACCAGCACCCAACTCAGTAGGAGGTCACAGCAATGGTGGGGGCTCCTGGTGTACCTGCTGGGACAGCACGGACTGCTGCCACGGACCACGGGATGCTCACCCTTTTTTTTTACGTTGGTCAGTTGGACAGTCACCCTCGGCTTGCGCTGGTTGCTTGGGATGGTGCCGTCCGAGGCCAGGAAGACCAGGAGGGAGGTGGGCACCACGGGTCTCTCAAAGCACACCTGGGCAGGAGGGCAAGAGACACCCTGAGAGCGTGCATACCAAATACAGCCTTTCTGATCCCATGTATGCAGGAGGGAGAGAAAGAGGGAGCATGGGGAGGGAGAAGGAACAGGGTTGGGGGGTCAAAGACTGCAGGTGTGCAGGGCAGCAAATGGGTGGGAAGAAAGAGAGGAGGGAAGGAAGGGTGCAGGAGCAGTCTTTTCCCTCCTAATTCCCATTCTCCCTTTCGTAGTCTTCCCCACATGTATCAGTCCCACCTTGCCATAGATTTATGGCACCTTCCCAGCTTCTACATTTGCTGCTCTTAAAATTGAGCAACATCTGAGACCTGGATGAACTCTTTTTCTGCCCTTCTTTCCCCAGGCTCCAACTCCTACCCCGCATGGTGCTGGACAGGCAAGCGAGGCACGCAGAGAGCACAACGACCTGCCCTGCCGCCACATATTTCCATTAAAAAAACCCCCCACAAAACAAACAAATAACAGCTCCGGTACCCAGAGTGACTGCAAACTATCTGTCAGCCAACACGCGGAAAGATTTGTGGGAAGAAGTCCTGCCTGCTAGGAGAGCCGACAGCTCCCCACTTGTCTACAGCCCCGAAGGCTACAGGAGGCAGCCGGGAAACTCACAGCATCAATCATGGCCGGGCAGATGTTCCTTAGAAGTAAGAGGATAGAAATGTTTTTCTCCCCCACCCTGGTGCCCCCCACCCAGTGCCCAGATGTGTTTTGATCAAGACCCACCCTATGGAGTGTTTTTGTTGAATGCTGGCATGGAGGGAGCCCAGAAGTGGAAGGCAAAGGTGTAATTTGGAGGAGGACAAGTCCTGGCTGGCTGGGCACAGCCCAAGGAGCAGACTGTGGGAGCAGAGGGGACAACCACCCAATTTGTGATGGCAGCCCAACCTTGCCGTGGTTTGTGCCACACCAGACATTGCTCACGCTCAGGAGTGGGAGAAAATCTTGGGCTTCAGCCCAGGGCTCCCACCCTGCAGGGAGGTGCTCGGCAGCAAACGCCCCACGAGCGAGTCCCCAGTGCTGCCGACATGCTCCCTTGGCCAGGGCTTGCTCTCATGGAGGGCTGGCCCTGCTGCAACCAGCAGAGCAGGAGGCTGAAGCTGCTTTCTCCCCAGGAGCTAGTGAGAAAAGGAGGAGGAGAAAGGAAAGCAGGAAGGGAGGAAAGATGAAGAAGAGCCAGCAGTGCTCACAGCCTGCTCCGAGGAGCCCCCCAGGACAGAGCTGCAGCTGGGAAGCCCCGAGGAACCAGTTTATTTTAACCCAGCCACCTGCTGCCTGCTCCTCCAAGCGTGGTTCCTCAGGAGAGGAGAGATGGTTGGAGAAGTCAGGTGAGGCTTTCCCTGGGCTACACAGCTTAAGGCAGAAGGTTTAGTCTTTCCCTTTCTACAGTGCATCTACTTGGAGGTGAAGGACACTGGCCTCAAGTTATACTAACAACAGCTGACTTAATATGCCAATTTTTTCTTTTCTTTTTTTTTTTAATATGTATTATGTGCCTGGTGGCAGCAGGCTATGATTTTAATTTTTCTCCCTCCTTCTCCCCCTTTCTGCTTAATTTCCTGCATGTTACACATCCTGACTTGCTTATAAGTGATTTTAATTTCTCTCCTCCTCAGACGTGTTAGAAACTGAGAAAAAAAGCATGGCCAGACATCTACAAATCATAACAATTCCCATCTGCAGACAGACCCAAGGAGCATGGCAGATGCTTCCTTAGGTGGCACAGACGCACACACCTCTTGCCCCCCAAGCCCACTTACAGCATGACCCAGCCTTGCCTTTCCCTTGCTCAATCGGTGCCACCTCTTGAGAAACGCCGTAGGAAGCTATTCCTACCAGTTTTGTGCTGTGGCTCTAACCTGGGTGACTCAGGTGCAACAGCTTTAAAACGGCCACAGGAGCCAGTGGCCGTGAAACACCGTGCACACGTGGGTACGCATGTGCGTGAACAGCACTGTTCCTGTCTGGGCAGGCGGCTGTGCTAGGCAAATTGTCAACAAGGAGCTGTCTTTCCTAACCCAATCTGTTACCAATCAGGCAAACTCTATTAAAAAAAGGAAAAAAGGAGAAAAAAAAAAGGCATATTTATTACTAGTCCATAAATAATTTTATGGGCGGAAAATAATAGCACTCCTAAAGAGAGCATGGAGAACCAGTAATGAAAGTCTTTAATATAAACATCCATAGAGGAAGAGAACTGACCACAAGCTCCAATAAAACTGGAACACGCTTTAACCCCTGGTGAGAAGTGGAAAGCAAGCTTTCATCTAGGTAGGGCAAAGGGGGAGATTGCTGCTTTCTCGCTAGCAAAGGAAGAAAGAAGGCACATTTGTTGTGGCCAGAGACTGAAGCCGGAAAGTAGGTCGTGAGCACACAGGCAAGGAAGAAAGGGGGGAAAAAAGCTGTTAAAGGAAGTTTGTTGGAGAGACTGAGGACCTCAGAGGCAGTAGCAATGTTTATTGACTCAGGTTTGATGAATCACCAAGTTGTCTGAGTGTCTTGGGAAGAGGTCCCCTCTGGACAACCTCAAGCAAAGCACTGCAAGATGCCGCTCAAACTGCGGAGGAAGCGGCAGCACTCCAGAGCCCCGCTTTCCAGTAACACCAGGCAACAGCCACAAAACCTCTAAACCATGGCTGCCATCAGAAAATCAACGCTGTAAAAATTACTTTGGCCTAACCCTCAGCTCTCCTCTGTCCTGCTCCTCTGCCTGCTGGGACAGAGAGCTTTGACCCTTCAGCTGTCCTCCCAAGAGGGGCCCACAAGCCCCCATTGGGCTGCAGAACCAGCAGCTTGGGCACAGAAGTGCCTCCTTTGGCCTGGAGTCATCAGAGGGCAGGAGGACCTGCATGCCACAGGTGATTGCTGTGGACTCATGGTGCTCAGCAGCAACCTGGAGTGCTCATGGTCCTCTCAGTGTGGCAGCGTGTATCCCAGCTACCCTCTGCTGCTCTTCACGGTCATGGGGAGAAAAGGCAACTAGGGCTTCAAACCCAGGTTCTGCTCACACTTTGTGAATGTAACAGCACAGCTTGACTGCAGGGAATAGTCAGGAGCAAGTTGTTTCTCAGCCTCAACACATTTCTGTGGGCTCCTGGTAATCTGCCCCAGGATGGGCTCGTCCTTTACATTGGGAATGGGGCAACTACATAAGACTCAGCCACAGGCATGTGGGGTTGACAAAGAGTTCAGTAGCACATGAAGTCCTACCAGAGCAGTTTTTGAGACTGCTGTAGCTCCTACAGGACAGAAAAGGATGGGTGTTTGTCATCAAAGTGCTGGGGCAAAGACAAGGAAATCCTTCTGTGCCTGACCACACATCCTCACGTACCTTGAGCCAAACTCCCTCATCGCCCAAGGGCTTCCTCTCCTCATCTGGATCCTGAGCATTGTCTTGGCTGAGAGTGCAGGGGAACCAAGCAGCCAGGGAAAGGTCCTTTGGCACATTGTGAAGGTGGGATTTACATACCTGAAAAGGAGAGACATATTTCAAACCCGAAAGAAGCAAGGAAAGTGAGAGAAACGAAGAAACCTACAAAACCTCAAGGAAGGCTCAACATGTTGAGAAGGACTGTAGCATGAAGACAGTGTGGGTTCCTAAGTGAGAGTGACATCTCACCACCCACCCTCGTGTACAGGAAGCCTTTACCCTTTTGACATGTTGCAGTTGTTGAAGTACCTCATGGTGTCTGTGGGGCTGAGTAGGAAAAAATGAGCCAGGCTGTGAGATAGTATGGAAGACCACAGACCACTGGATTTTGACTGAGCTGATGAGATCCAAAGACGCAATTCGTTTGCCTGAATATCAGCCTTCTGTGCCATTTGATGTCCTATGGTATCCCAGACATCCCCACAGGCCTTGCAGACAAAGCCTGGGTTCTAGAGGAGCAGATACCTGAACCCAAGACATCCCCCTAGACATGTATATCTAGGCAATTTAATCATGCTGTGGGGGTCTCAAGATGATGGTTCTTTACACAAGGTCAGTAGGAACACACATATAAAGGGCTAAATAGGACCTCTCCACATATTTCTTCCCCTTCTTCAGCTTGCTAGGAAAGAACATACACACTCCAGACTAACACCAGTCAGGCGAAATCCTGTCCTAGACCTCCAAGCCCTGCTCCAAAGCCCCTATAAAACATGGGAATTCTCCCATCGATTTTTTGTTGGCTTCAGATCAGAGAGTTTGAAAGCAGTGCAGATGCTGACATACACGTGATTTTATCCTTTCAGGCCCTGACCTTATAAGGTATTAGACTTCAGGAATTTTTTTTTAAACCAACACAGTGGTACTACTCTACATGCTCCAAGTTGTGCATTCAGCTGGTAGGATGGGGTTGGTCACTGTTAAGCAAACTGCATGGTCAGGGGAGGTGGTCCCTGCCTTGATGAAATGCCCCCCCCACATAGTGCAGTTCCTGGGCTTAGGGACTACTGAAAGCGGGGTGTGAGAAATGCCCAGGTCCTCTGTTGGCTCCCTGCATGGGAACACAGTAGTCAATAGACACTTCCAGAGCTGCTCTGAAGATTTTGGGTTTGCTTCAGTACACTCTTGCAGCAGTGACTTCGCTAGCTTTACTGCATGGGCTTTGCTAGAAAAATCCTTTTTTTTGGCCATGGCTTCACTCACCTTCACAACAGGCTCTCCAGTGACCAAGGAAGCAGGGCAGGACTTTGCATCATGATGGGAAGCATAGGCTTTCACTGCCCACAGATCCACGTAGCCATCCGGCGTGTAGAGACCACAGTCCAGGACACTGCTTGTCTTCTCAAACGGCTCACACACGCCGTCACCATCATGCACGTAGCACAGGCTTGGTTCCCCTGCAAGGACACCAGGGATGACCTGTTTGCAAACAGGCACACACATCTCCTCCTGTCCCAGGAGGCGTGCTGGCCATTTAGCCCTGGGATTTCCCAACACAAGGGTTTGACGAGCTCCGTGGATCACTCCAGCTGCAGATCCACATTTTATTGCAATGAGGTGCATCACCCCTGGTGTTGAGGAGCAGTGTGAATAGCATATAGTTTCAGCTCCTGCTTGGCAAGGATGTCTCAATCCATGTGGACTCACCGACACAGTTGAAGCCTTTTTCCTTTTTACATTTCCTGGAACAGCCATCTCCATCCAGCAAGTCCCCATCATCACATTCCTCCTCCAGGCTCCTAAGAGAAAAATAGCCAGATGTGTTAACATCACCCTTGACTCAACACTCCTGTGCTTCTGCACAGTAATGATTGAGGACCCCGTATCTTGGGTCCATTTCCACAGAAGCAATGAGAAGAGGAAGAACCACATGTAGAGTAGAGGAGAGAAAACACCAGGGGATAAAAGGAGGTTGAAAACACAGCATATGGGAGAAGGCGTGATTGTACTGTTACTTTCTTGTAAGACCTGAGGCAAGAACTTTGGGGAAAAGATGAAGCTATATACAATGGAGCAAGTAGAGAACCAAACATTGGTTTGCTGCTGGAGAAAGCAAATATTGGAGAGGGCAGGAGTTTTGAGATGGGCTGGTGTTTCAGTGGGAGCTGGAGGAGGAGAGACAGGAGAAGGAAGAGAGAAAAGGTTATCCCAAGGAGACAAGAATCAGCCCCCAGCTGATGGCATAAGGCAAAAAAAGCCCATGCAGTTTCCTGGAAAAGCTTCTGTCCCCTTAATCCAAAAATAGATCTGATGGTGCTTCCCTTTGGGGCAGGATGACCTGAGAGCTTGAAGAACCTCAGCTGAGAGCTTAGGTTTCTTGACTTACGTGGTCACCTTCCCATCCCCGCAGTAGGGCGCTCCGTGGACATGGACAAGCGGTGGGGAGGCTTCTCCTGAGGTTGTCCCAGAGACTGCCTGCACCTGGTAGCGGTACACCTGCCCGGACATGACTTCCCTGCAGGAACAGAGAGGGCTTGAACAGAGAGCAGAAGGGAACAACCCATACATCTGTAACAGATTTGCTCACTGCAGCTATAGAAATCACACGTTTGTGCCCAGCCAGTATCACAGCTTGACATATGGCTTCATACTCTAAACTGCCAGAGGCAGAGACTGTGGGAAGAGGGTCTCTGCCAGGTCATGCAGAGGGATCTGCTGCTTATTACCCTAGGGTCTGAGCTGGGGAGAAGTGGCATTAACTCGAACTATCGTTTTACTGGTCATGTTAATGGGGAAAATGTTTCTGGGTTTAATGAGCTCCTTCTAGTTAGCCTGGGCTCCTGGGCAAGGATCATGCTAGCGTGATGGGTCTGCAACAAGATTCCTCGATGCCGAATAGGGAATCTGCTCGTGGCACTGAATGTGATGATTCCCCAGGGAGGGGAGGGAACCAAAACACAAGCAAAACCATCCAGGGATTCAAAGGCAGTACTTGAGGAAGTCATCGCAACTGCCCCGGCCACCACTCGGCCCGTGACAGAGCAGCCTCATCACTCACGTGTCGATGAACTGGCGGTGTGCCTGTGGCGGGGCGGTGGGGGATCCGTTTGCAAACGGGGGGTCGCGGAGGACTCGGTACTGGATCAGCTTGCAGGCGGAACAGAGAGAGCTGTGGGGCATGGAGGTCAGCAGAGCCGTGTCTATCTCCATCCTCTCGTCAAAGGTGTAGATTTTGACTCCGGACACCTTTTTAGGTATGTTGAGCTTCACAGTAAAGGGGACATCACAGAAGGTGTCCAGGGGCCCCAAATGAATGGACTCCCCCTGCTCTGTCAGGACTTCGATGTCAGATAGTGCCTTGGGAGAGCCCGTGGAGAGGTACGTGGTCCAGAGGGTGAGGGAATCGGGATAGACAGGGTGCAGGAAGCGCAGCTCCAGGATGCAGCCGTCTGGCTGGGGACATGGCACCGTCATGTTCATGTGGTACAGGTGGAGCTCCGGACTCCAGGCCTGCAGGCTGGGCTCACAGGGCTGATCCACATCCGGGGGCCCTGGGCAAGAGGGACAAGAAGGCTGATGAGAACCAGGGGACAGCTGACCTCACAAGGGACCCAAAGGGGCGATCCTCCCTGCAGTACCCCATAGGTGCTTACACATCTCCATGCTCTAGCTGCACACCCATGCAGTTTGGCACCCGCTACAGGCATATGCCAGAGCTGGTGGCATCTGCCCTAACATGCTAGAAAGCAATAAGCACCACTAGTCTCCCAGCTCCTTGGAGCACATACGAGCACAAGACTTGGCAGATCTGGTGTCTCACAGCCCTCTAGAACAGGGATGATGGTATCCACGCTGCAGCTGGCCACAGTGCCAAGCTCTAGGGACAGCCTGGACACGACTAGGGGAAAGGAAGCTTGCTCTGTAGTTGCATGGGCACAGACGACTTGCCAAGGGCACCTGAATGTCAAGTCCCTGTGGCTCCATGGGTTTGGACATAGGCTAAGCAGAGCAGAGACCAAAGCTTTCCACAGGCAAGTGATGGAACAGGTCACAGGCAGAAAGGGACCAGATCCAAAGCAAGTCAGGGAAGCAGCTCTGGAACACTGTTCCTCCACCAGAACCTCCAGGACGGTGCCCAGGCTGACCTCAGATCTCCAGCCTGCCTCCCCCGGTGGTGGATTAGCAGTCAGCTAGAGAAACGTAGCGTTGGGCTTTCAGTCTCAGAAAGCATCACTGGAATTGATCATCAGGTAGTAGAAATACCCTTGTCTTCAACCATGCAAGCATTTCTTAGGGCCCAGCACCGATTCAAAGTCAACATCCATTTAATATTTGTCTTCTAAAAACCATAAAACCTGTCTCGCTCACCAGAGCAAACACGCACTTGTGATAACTGCAGGTCATGCACAGGAGAAAACAACATCCAATAATTCCAGAAGCAGTTTTAATTTGCCAGTGAATTAGACAGAGGGGAAAACAGGAACCACTGCCGATAAATGAGCTAAGCTTTGATTTGTTTGAGATCACTGAATAAACACAAATTTGATTATTTCTTTAAGCTGACCTCTCCCCGCCCCCCGCAGCTTGCAATGCTAGCCAGAGATACTTAAAGTTTTCAGACAGAATCTCAGCCACATCCTGACACTCCTGTTCTCAAAGCATGGGCTTCATCCTAAAGGTGTAACAAGTGCAGGTTGGACATTTCTCAGCAGTCACCCTGACATGTTTTCAGTTGATCTTAGCGGCAGATGTACAGAACTAACAGGTCCCCTAGCTCCACGTGGTTCAACAGCAGCACGTGCACTACGTACAGCCCATCATTTCACCTGGTCTCCTGCCTCCTCTGCTTTGCCCTTGGAGAAGTTGAGGCAGTATGAAAAGCCCAACAGCTCCTGTGGCAGCTGCATGACCCTGAAAGCCACCACTGTGCCAATAAGATGGGTCTCTAAGCCAACATCTGGTCTCAGCACAAGAGAAGTTGTAACACCCCGCAGTCCACCTCGCCAGCGAGGAATTACAGCCAACACAAACTGCCCAGGGCTTGGTACAGACTCAGTGGGACTGACCAAGGACCTCCTCTTGCTCCCTTCGGACAAGGCTGTATCAAAGCCTGTGAATGCCCCTGAGGTTTCGGATGAGGTCCCAAGATCTATGTTGTAAGACTTATTTCAATGAAATGCCCCTCCTTTGACCAGTATCTCTCATTAACACCTTTCTGGGCAAGGACTGGGGTTAATATTGGGGTGTCTGTCTGTTTGCCTGCCCAGCTCGCAGTCACTAGGTATCTCCTGGGCACCTAGAAGTCCTTCCTGCACTAAAGAGCCTCCCCAAAGAGGAGACAACTCTCTCTAAAAGGAGAAAAAAAAAAAAAGCTTCTTTTTATTTTCCCAACAAGATCTCATCTCTGT